AGTAAGGATGCAGGGGTCTGATTCGTACCCTGCCTCCTCCGCTAGCAGCCGGCCCCTCCAACCACCCGCCCAAATCCTTTGCCCCCCAGGAATCAGCCTAAGGTTTCGAGCCCCCCAAGAGCCCATCCGTTCCAGCACAAGTGGAGGGACGGGGTTTGTGACCCTCGCTCAGGGGAAAGCCCAGCATCCGTGCTAGGCTGACAGGTTTGACCAGCAGGATGTCAATGTGTCATTCCCAAGCCAGGAAAGGCCGAGCGTTTCAAAGCCCCCACTTTCAGGGGTGGGTTGAGACATACGCGGGGAGCCAACTGTGCTTGGCTGTCCACTGCCGTGATGATCTGCAAGACGGTGCCTTTTCCAGCCAGGATAAAAGACCCGGATCCTCATTGCCTGACACACAGCGAGTGCAAACCACTCCCATTCTGATATCCCAGCATTGGATTTCCACTTGGCCCTGGTGTACCTGGCAACCCAACACACAGGGCAGTGCAAATTCCACACTCTCCGTTCTTTGCTTCAAGGCACTGTCCTGTCTGGGCCCTGCAAATCTAAAATAACTCAAGCTACAAGGCTGCTTCCTCTGGCTATCCCGGGGGCCAGCCCAAGACAGGGGAATGAATTCCAGGAACTCGGGGGACCCTCCCAAACGTACCCCGCCCTTTCTCTAGTGTAAACACAGGGCCACAGGCGATTAAACACAAACACACATCGACTCACCAAAGATCCTACCAAAATAATACGTTCTACCGCACCTCCCCCGGGCGAGAGGCTGAGAGAACAAGACGTATCACAAGCGTTAGTCTAGCTCAATGTTTCTTAAACTTTTTAAGACCGAGGAACACCGAACAATATTTTTTTTTATGGGGAACACCAAGGATTTTTTGTTGAGAAAAAAAAAAAAAGGTCGCCTGCCCCTTTAAGGGCGGCCATTTCGAATTCTGTTGTTCTCCGCAGAACACCTCTGACTGCCTCGCGGCACACCGATGTACTACAGAACACAGTTTAAGAAACACTGGTCTAGCTTACAGGGGTTCTCGTGTCACCAGGAGGCGTGAAGAAGATCTCGCAGAGGGCAGAGATGGAGGAGCTGTAATCTCCCAGCTCTGGGGGAGGAAGAGGGCATTGGGACCGAACTCGGTCTGCCATACGCCGCCAGCTCCCTTAGCTGCAACCCCTCCCGTGTGCCGGCTGCTTTCTCACCCCACGGCCTACACGTCACGCCGCCAGCCCAACCCAAGAAGGGAGCCTTCGCCTCATTCGGCGGGGCTCGCCCCACATCTGCCGCCAAGACCGGGCCTAAGCCGCCTGGTTCTCATTTCCAAAAGACGTAAAAATGTTAACGACCGGCCATTTATAACCCGGCTTGTAAACTCTCGGCTTTAATTGCCTCCCAATTGAGCCCAGACACAAAGTCTCCCGAGCGCTCTGCTCGCTTGATTTTCACCTTCCTTTGTACCTTCCGCTTTAACGGCTTTTTCTTTTCCTCTCCTCCTGGGCAAATAAATCAGCCCCTTGCTTCCCCGCCCCTTCCACGGCACAGCCGCTCTCCGCTGCGGTTTGCTCAGTCCGCACATTCTTCCTTTGTAGTTTAATGAAGATTTTTTTTGGGGGGGGAGGGGGTTGAGAGCTGTAGTCCTAGAGGGCCAGCCCTCCCCAAAAAACACAGCTCCTGTGGGAATGCTTCTGGACGGGGGACAGGGAATTCCACACCAGGCTGGCCTCAGCAGCCTTTTCCAGGGAACCCTGGC